ATAGGTGCAAATTACGCAGGCTTAAGTCTAACGGCATGTGAGATGGCAGCAAGAGAATCTTTACTCAGAAACTCGTAATCATTAAGAGGAATCATTAGTCTCAGGTGACCTTACTCAGGTCAAACGGTGGTTAGCGTCAATATTCGTAAGATCTTAGCCTAAAAGGGGTTGATTGTCGCTCTCAAAAACTACTACTTAGACATGAAGCTCAAAATATCTGCGTTATCGAATGCCCTTATCAACAATTGTGGTACTAGCCCATCTTAATTAACGCTTAGAGCGAAACATTGATTGGCGTTTACGTATACATGTATACAACAATGGCATGGTTACACGGAAAAATTGAAAAAACCAGACATTCATTTGGTTGCATGGAGTTCCTTCAAGCACCTGTGCTCACTCCCCTCTGCACGTAACTAACGGCTCGGCCTTGAGAAATTACATCCACGTTTTGCCACGCATTAATATCGTTATTATGTACATTTTTATAGTATTAAAACAACTGTTACCTAGAGCCTATTAAAACTGACAACCTGATCCTTACACAAATCAAGTTCTGGCTGGTCGTTCACGCTGACTACCATGGGCTACGGTTCGCGTAAGACGAACACGTTGCAGATTGAATGAGTATTTCTTCCGTTTTACTAAATTTACAAAAAAAAACAAATTCACGTTTACTAAACAAATAAGCGACAATGAAATAATAATAAAGTAGGACATCGACGTCTATGAATTGATGATAGGTCCACGGAAAGATAAGGACGACAAACGTCGTTATTTGTATGTGCATCTGACGCAAAGATTCCCACAAGGTAGACATTCTATGACATCGATAACCAATGCAAGATATACTGAAACTATATATCTAATATACTGCGATATGTAATTGCACATGCGAGCGACAAAGCTTATCTGCGATAAAAATGAAACAAATGCCGATTTTAATAAAGGCTGTGTCGATTTTCGTAAAAAAGAAAAAATGTGTTGATTTTACGTTTGAAAAAACGTGTAGTGATGACAACGTGCCGAAGTGGGTGCCGCTTGCCCTCTGCGTGTTTGAGCCGGAAGTTACAAGTCCTCGACTGGTGCAGTTGATTCGACAAACATCGAGATAGAGAGAGAGAGAGAGAGAGAGAGTTTCTTACTGCATTTTTCCCGCATAGTTTCTGATGAGCGACGCTGATCGTTATTTAGCGCCGTATCGTTACTAGCCCTTGAGATTTTCCCACTTTCTTTCACCCGTTGCACTTCGAACGAGGTGAAACAAGGTAAAGAGAGCTTGCGATCTCCTTGGTTTGTATGTACCGTAAAGAGTTAGAGAGGACATGTTCGGCCAGCCAAGATCTTCGGGTGTCGGTGTACCCCACGGCAAAAGCACCGGTCTTGACAAGTGAATCCCATTAGCACCCGCAACAGAAGCTAGTAGCGTTGAATGGCGTGTTTAAACCAACAACTTAGAAACTTGAACATACTAGAATTTCAAACGAAAGACAAGATAAACGACTGATGTGGCGGGTTTGTCCTAGTAGACTGATTGTTTTACGTTTCCTCATTTCCATTCAGTTCCTCGTAGCTTTTGTGATTATTTCCAAATTGTTGAGGCTAATTTATGTAAAATAAATTGCAAAAACTATTCATCTATTCGTTTTTTAATTTGTTAATAAATCGCACGCTGCCCAGGGCCAAGCGGACCCCTTCCGAGCGGAGTCGGCACCAGCATACCTGTCTGCATTCATCCCAACAGAACCGCCTCCGCCGCTCGCCGAAGATGTTTACTACGGGGTACCACCTCTAAAAAATACATATGCATGGGTTAGTGTTGTAGAGCTTCAAGCATCGTCTGTTTGAGGTCATTGTTACTCGATAATAGGCCCGTTGTTGGCTTGGGCCTATTATCGTATCGACAGAATCGGCCATTGAAACATCCTTCTAGTAATAGTCGCTCACTGTATAACACATGGACCAAACAGTAATTGGCGAGCGTGAAAATTGGTCAACTTATTACACTTTAGCACAGAATATCAATTTACTTTTTTTGCGGCACACACAGCGATTGCAAAAGTAATGTTTGGACTCGACGAAAAACAGGATCAGATAGCGATTGCAGATGAGGATAGACGACGAGCGATATTCCGAAGAGAACAACGAGCTAGAAATCCACGGTTAGACTTTCTCGTTCCGTCAATGTCAGAACACAACGAAAACTACTACGAACAAGGGTGCCCTTAACGAAGTTGCTGAGTAACACTAACCACAGCATCACCACCAGCAGCAACGGCAGCATTAACGAAATAGTTCGATGGTGGTCCTTAGGCGAGGTCCAATGAAAAGAGCACGTTGCCAAAGTTGCCAAAGAGCGAAGCGTTTTTGATATCACAATAGCGGCTGCACAGCGCAAGACATATGAGCTATATTTTGGCCGGCCGGCCGTGTCTCGGGAGGGACTCTCATTCAGCGGATGCAGCTAGCTTTATCCCCTCGAAAGTATGCTATCCACCGCCCCCTGCCCCCATTCTCCCGCGACCGACAAACCAAGTTGGTTGTCCAAGTCCGCTAGTTTCCTACTCCCGCCACCGCTGCTAACGCCTTTACTGGGGATGGTGTCTGCCTACACAACCAATGCGAATCAAACTCGCATGAGAAAGGCATACAGGCATCCGAAAAGGACATGTGAGCTAAAACAGTCGTCCTAACCGAGACTGACAGTTCGGGGACCAAGACGGAGAGAACGTGAGAGCTAGCCCAAGGATCCTTGTCCTCGCCAAAGAACTTCCGCTCGCTTCACGTACACTCGTCGTACGTTTGCGGTGACCGAAGGTCTTTTGGCCACTCACAGACCAACAAAAGTTAGTAGTGAGCAGATGCCAGTCGGCATGCTGGCTGTGTCTTTCTGGGTCAAAATATTATGCTTCCATTTTTGGCTATTTGCCGACAGAAGACTTACATTTTTTTTTTCGAGATAGAATTTGATCATCCATCAGCCAAAGCTGGCAGGAACATCTGCAGAAAATTTTGCATGAGGCTTCTTCTTTTTGTCGTTTTCCCTTTCTGCGTTCTTTCGGTCGCCCGTTCTCTTACTCGACCCGTATGGGTGTACAAGTCTCTCAAATAGCCGTCTCGCGACAGCTCTGTATGTTAGCGGTGCCTCTATGGGCCTAAAGAAACAGATCCCACCGAGCTACTTTTAGAAGCCAGCCATGGTTTTTACGACGCATCCATTCGTACTAACATGCTAAGACTGCTGGGGTACTCATCGTCACTACCGTCGTTTGGCACTTTTCCCTCTTCTTCACGACCCCGTTTTCCTCTTAAACACTTTAAACTCCCCATAGCAGCCCTCCACTGAAGTAGAAGATAGAGCTTTTTCTTCGCAGCCATGAGCTGGCCAGCCGAGCGGGATCGAAAAGAGCTGACCTTGCCAGTAGCGAATGCAGCAGAGATTCGGCCACGAGGAATTCTCAGCAGTCGCATCGGTCTTTCCCCAAAAGCTGGATCCATTGTGACTATGGATCTGTAGAAACAGCAGCCATTAACTTAGGGCCCACATCCTGAACTATCGGATCACGATTCCAAGCTGCCACAACTGCTGATCACGATTCCAACAGTACAGAGTTTCCCGGAATTTTAAGGCAAGCAGACAGAGCACAAGCATAACTTCAAAATACTTACACACCCCACTGTTCTTCACGTCTGCCTGTAGGAATCTTTTCGTGCACCCACTCTCTGACGTGCTTTCTGGTATGGGCCCGTACAGGTGCACTGGAAGCGTAGAGTAGGAAATAGGGAATGGGCAGGAACCCTAAAGGAAGAGCCGCAAGAGACAATGTCCAGGGGCTGCTTTCCGGGCACTGACCGGATGGGTAGGCAGGCAAAACGGAAAAGAATCTAGCTTGAACCTAAGAAAAAGATGTGAGTCTAGTAAAAGGGATCACAATAACAGACGGAAGGTCGATGGCCAGGCGGGCAGGCAAACACATTTTGTGCTATATATTTTTGCTATGTCCGTAGATCCCAGCACCCTTCGAAGCCTTTCTCCTATTACAACTTTCGAGAGTTTCGAGTGCAACTTACTCAACCTAACCTAACTGAGTAAAGGTAATCCGCGTGAAGGCTGCATTACAAATCCTGACTCGTTTTCTACTTCTTTTGTTCTATTGCTTTCTCTGTTCGACTCCTGATGTCATCAGAAGAGTAAAAAAAAAATAAAAACGACTACTAACTATTACTACAACCGTTGCTCACATTTCCTTCCTGCCAGTTTCTTCCTGTTCTAACGAGGTAGTAATAACAATCGGAGCAGTACAGGCGGCAATTGCAGAATCGGATTTGGGCTTGATCCAGTATAGTATTTTGTTTCTGATTCCAGAAGCGTCTATCTGTTTGACAACCAAGTCCACTACAATGCAGTCTAGCCCTACGCGTAGTGAACGCTGTAGTCGAACGGATAACTGCTGGCGTTCAGTGTTGACCGTTCACGGCTGCAAGATATTATACGGTTGGTCACTATTCTCAAACCGCCAATCATTCCTGATGTATCCCTCTGCGACTGCTAGCCCATGTAATGCTTCTTGGCGCTCATTTGTTGTCGATCTTTCGTTTTTCTACAGCGTTCTGTGTCTTCGTTCCTTGTGTCGGCGATGCAATCCGATCTAGGAGGCAAGCTTCAGCCCTGCTCGAAACAGATCAACAGCAGGCCAATACTTTTACGCCGCAACGAACACCGAGTTTGAAGGAATGGTAGTACCAAAGCGCGAACCATGACAGAGGGAGACAACGAAAAAGAGAGAAGCAGACGACGGACGATAAGAGGAAAGATAAATGATCGTAGCGAAAGCAAAGACAAGCAGACTCGGAGCTTTTATAGAAAACTGGTCAGAGTCAGAGGCACAATCGTCGAACAAATGTCGACTTGCAAGTAGGAGAAAAAGCTATGCCTCGAGACAGAGCAGATACCGCACAAAAAGCAGAAGCTAGTGGCTCAAGAAGTAACGGCCACCATTTCCAACGAATACCAGGTCCACAGGCCCTAGTGTTTGTCACCATTGCTGCTGACGTACTTGGAGAGCACCATCAGTGTTCGGTCGCCTGCTTGCACCACTACCAGGACTCGCTGGAGTACGGGAAAGGAGAAGGGGGTCAGTTGAGGTGCCATTGGGCGATGAATGGAGTGTAATCTTAAACAAAACCCGTCGACATTACCGCGTGACGCGGTCCCCCCACATCTGTCCCTTTCATCGTTTACCATCCGCCCACCGTCGCTTTATCTTCGCCTTCCATCCGTCAGCTGTTAAATTTCCTGGCTGTACCTTACCTCTTCAGGTTTCGGTTGGCGCACGCGCGCGCATTTTCCTCTCACTCCTTTTTCGGCAGCCCGCACCACCTCCCAGCTTAGTCCCCGCTGCCACCCGCCCTCATGAAGCCAACTCGGACAGAGCGAAAGGGAAAAATAAAATAGAAAGAGAACGAACGGAAGCTCACTTCCTTTAGCTTTTCCTGCAGCCGACCCACTTCTTTGTTGAAAGAGTCGGGGCAGCCACCAAGCTCCCCGGCCCGGCGTGTCCTCAAATCTTTCTACTGGTTTTTCAGACGTTTGGTTGAAGTGTCGTCTCATCTGCGTTGCAGCCAGTCAGCATAGTATTGCCCCGGTTCGCCTGTAAATTTGACTGCTGCTTTGCCGCCCTCTGCTGTAATTCCCATTCTAGCCGATCTTTGACTTAGAAAAGCCCCTGTCCCCATTACAACCGCATCAATGACGACGCCTCAATTTATCTCCAAAACTTCTTAATGGGTCTCTCTTTCGTGCGTTCCTGGTCTGAACCATTTCCCTCCCCCCATCTCCATCTCCTTCTCTTCAGTTGAGATGGAGACGACAGCTCGCATCAAAGTAGGCACTCCGCCGCTACCGGCCCCAACCAAGGCGTTGATCAAATTTCGAAGGCAGGCCAAAGGAACAGTTTGTCGGTGCGGTTATTGTCATCGACGGGGCCTCGAACTAGCAATAACTCTTGATGGCCGGAAGGCCGGTTAACATGGCCACGAACGGCCTGAATTATCCATGATCCTGGATTCGTTGGCTAGAAGGAAATGAACTGCCGGACATGGAGACATTTAGAATATTCTATCTCTAATCTCTGGGCGACAAGATGAGAGTCTGCTAGAAATTGAGACCTGTAGTTGCTTTTAGCTTATGGTTCACTCGAAGTTTATCTGGATTTGTGCTGCCTTCATTTATTGTCATTTTATTCCGCCAAACTTCACACACTCAGAGATGCTAGGTAATACTATAAATGAGTAGCGCATCTTTATATAGAAGGAGCATATGTGACACAAATTGGCAGATTTACGATAAGTTGATAGGACGATATCTGGCATACCACAAGTCAAAAACATGCATGCACTCGTAAACCAACACAGTCATTTTATTTATCGGTTTATTAACATATACAATGTTTGCTTGTTATTTATTGGCACAGGCCGCAAGTTAGTTTACATACTGGTCAGCTCCACGGACCAAGTCGGTACTGAGGCTCGGCAATGAGCGCATATTTTCCAGAGGAAGTAAATGTAAATAGATAGAATGTATTAAGTAGTTTGTTAAGGAGCAGCATCCCCTTACGTGCGAACTGCCGCCTCTAATTGCATTGACTGAAGGGTCACCAGCTAACAACTCGCACTTCGAGCCTGTTCCATATTTGCATAGAAATAGACGTTTGAAGAAGACGTCTATTTACTTTCGTTCGAGCTATACTCGTACGTACACATAGCAGTAAGGTGCTCGTTCGCAAACAAAGTCTTGAAATCTATTTTGTCGC